GTTTAGCCCTACCTAATCCATTGATAACTGTGCTGTATAAGGTGTGAAAATGACTACTGCAGGTAATTAAAAAGGAGGGAGAATGGACAAATGAAGCACTGACTGTTTGTGGAACATTGCAAAAAACAAAATTCAGTGCCCATTGCTAAAGTAATACAGGTTCCCTGCCAACAATAACAAAGAATTATGGAAATAAATAAAGACATTACAGTGAAATCTGTGAAAAGGTTACTTTAAGTGTGAGGCACATGAACCAAATAGCTGTATACTACATGTTGTGGTCATTTACTGAACATGTGGAACACTGAAGGAAGATATCCCAGACTGAGAAGCTGTGGACTGGTCTACATTTCCCACACTGTCATTCATCTCATGGTACAGCAAGAAAGGAAAACTGTTTTTTAGAATCACTGCAATTTTCCACTTATGTAGCCATAACATGAGTATTTCAGCTGCTGATGGGTACAAAACATCTGAAGATTTCAGGATTGGCCAGTCAGGCTGTGCATGACCATAATATAATAAAAACCATTATAAAAATAGTAAAATTATTTCTATAGCACTTTTCTCCCTGGGGACTCACGTTTATCAAACTAGTGTGGAGATCTTTTAATAGAAGGATTTGTCAGGTTTTTCCTTTAAGACTGAGTGAAAAGAGGTGTCTTGAGTGCTTTCCAGACAATGGATGGCATAGAGTTCCATCTTGTGGGTGTTGCATGACAGAATGCACAAGACTCAAAAGATTTTATGGCAACTCTGGGCATGTGTAATTTTCATTTATCTAAGAAGCAGAGGGAGCGTGTGGGAGTATGGGTTACCAGGCGTTCTGTCATATAGACAGGATCCAAGTTATGTAGGGCTTTTTAAGTAGGCCAATATTAAGGGATATCCTCTAATTATAAGCCAGTGTAAGAAGCAAAGATTTGTGGTGGCATGGCAGTAACAAGGTCAATGGATGAGTAGCTGGGCTACTCCATTCTGCACCAACAATAAACAGTATCCTGCCTTATGTACTGGAACTTAAAGCGACACTAAAATCAGGAGTTAAATCTTAAATATGCCTTAGCTGTTAACACAAATGTAGCTTATTTGTGCACGATTCAGCTGTAGATCATTAAATCTTCTGTGAATTTGTGCTTACTTCTGGAGGGTGGCTACTTTTGTTCTCCATGGTCCCTGTGTGTGTTTTAAAGTAGCCACTGCTCCAAGCTTGTTCCAGTGATGGAATACAATCCCACGTTTAGTTTACTAGATTATATTGAGATTGCAGTCCATCATGGGAGTGAGCTTGGAGCTGTGCCTACTTTACAACACACACAGGGATCATAGGGAACAAAAGTAGCCACCCTCCAGAAGGAAGGATGGTGTCAGCAGGAATTTACAAATGATTTCAGGATCTACATCTGAGTGATGCACAAATAAGCTACACTTTTGTTAAAAGTTAGGGTACTTAAATGCATTTTTAAAAATTTTAAGTTCTGAGTTTAGTGTCTCTTTAAATGTCTAATACCTCTAAATCAGTGGTCGCCAAACAGGTGGTTCGCGAGAAACGTTTGGTGGTCCCCAGGCCCCACTGATGCCGTGCAGGCTGGGCCGTCATAGAAGCAGCATGGAGGATCCGGGGCTGCCTCTCACTGACTCAAGCTCGGCTGTCACAAGGAATGCGCAGCTCTAAGTACAGTGCGGGCTCTGCAGGAGGCGGGGCATTTCGTCACTACCCGGACTGAGCAGGCTGCGGGACATAGAAAAAGTGGGGAGAAGCCAGGTAATAGTGGCTCAGTGTGGGGGAAGGGGAGGCACGGGGGTGGTTGGTGGCAGTGCTGAAGCTAGGGGGGCATGTGCCCCAGGCGCCGCCGGCAGGGCCAGTGGCAGATTCGATAGGGGGGAAACAATTAATATTATTACTGGGCCGGGGTGGGTGGCCCCGCTCCCTCCCTCCACCAGCACTGCCGCTCCTGCAGGCACACCCGCACCAATGTATTTATGTATGTGTATATACTGCATACTGTGTGTATATATAGATATATTCTCATATTTTTTGTTTCCTCATATATAAATATATTATCGTGTGTGTGTGTGTGTGTGTGTGTGTGTATACACACTGAGTGGCCAGATTATTATGACCACCCCATCAGCACTTCGTTGGGCCACGAGATGACTTCATTGGGCCACCTCGTGACTACACGAGATGTTGAAAGGTGTCTTGTACCAGTCTTGCCACTCTCCGTTCTGCCCTAACATTGACTAGTCGCTGACGGCCACAATTCGCACGGTCAGACCCAGATTTTCGGCTGACAGTCTTTAACAGCTGCTCTTGAACATTTAACGAATTCTGCTGTTTTGCTGATACTCGCTCCATGGCTTGAGCGCCAACAATCATCCCACGTTCAAAGGCTGTTAAATCGCAATGTTTACCCATATCTTCAGAAAACATTTGCTTCTACTGTCATGGTAAACAAACTGCTTCCCTATCTATAATGGTCTGGCCCTCTAGCAACTTCAGCGCGAAATTATAGCTAATTTGCCTACAAACGTCAGGTGGTCATAATAATCTGGCCACTCAGTGTACACACACACACATATGAGAAAACATATATATGCTGGAAGCACTATTTTTGCAGATCGCACTGGACTGGAACGCAGGCACGTATGTGCCTGTGTTCCAAGTGCGGGTGATCGCACTGTGGGCGGGGGCGTGGCTGCGGTGCCAATGACTTCAATACAACCCCACACCCCATCCCGCCCCTGAACGCAGGGAGTCGGTCAGCTTACATTCCAGTGCGTCCTAGAGGCCCGGTGTCCCGTCCTCCCGTGGTGCTCGTGTGGCCGATGTTGCACATGGGGAGAGGTGTCCTGCCCCTTTCCATCTGCAGTGTCTGCCACATTCAGCCGGCAGCCGCACGAGCATAGCAGTAGCCAGCTCTTTTTGCGCCCGAGGCAAGAAATACAAATGTGTACCCCCCAAACAGGCGTGTGATGTCACCCAGTGCTCTCCTAGATAGCAAGCAATTGAGCTGCAAGTTTGAAAATGACTTGCTAAACTATTGCAGACTTGTCAAGCTTCACAATTTTGTTGCACAATTACAGCAAGTCTGCATTGCAAGTCTCCATATCAACGTGCTTTTCAAAAGTGCTGTACACTTGCAGAGCTCTTGCTAAGACCTGCAGGACTCTTGCTGTAGACTTGCCAAGCAAATTTGCTACAAATTCAAAAAGTGTCAACTAGAACTTGTGCTGCAAGTGTTCTGC